GCAGTCTGCGCTATCTAGTCCACACGAGGCCAGACATTGCGTTCGCCGTGGGCTACGTCAGTCGCTTCATGGAGGATCCCAGAGAGGATCACTGGGCTACGGTGAAGCGGCTACTACGCCACGTCAAGGGGACGGTGAATCATGGAATCATCTTCCCAAAGACCGGTGAGAGTAGGCTGCAGCTCACGGTATTCAGCGATGCAGACATGGCGGGGGACATCGACGGACAACAGAGCACCTCTAGCGTGCTCGTCTTCCTCGGGTCAGCCCCAATTTCATGGTTGTCGCTGAAACAGAAGATGGTGGCGCTATCTATGTGTGAGGCAAAGTACGTAGCGGCGGCCACAGCGGCGTGCCAAGTTGTGTGGCTACGCCGGCTGTTGGGTGAGCTGACCGGCGTGGAAGCTCACCCACCAGCACTGATGGTGGACAACCAGCCCGCCATCGCCCTCGCGAAGAATCCGGTTCTGCACGACCAGAGTAAACACATCGACGTAAAGTTCCACTTCCTCAGGGACTGTGTTGATGGAGGACAAATCATCATCGAGTTCGTTGAAACTGCTCGGCAGCTCGCGGACGTCCTCACCAAACCGCTCGGACGACTTCGACTCACGGAGCTGAAGGAGATGATCGGCATGGAGGGGGTACAAGGGTTAGCAGTAGGATTAGGGGAAGATTGTTAGCTAATCTACTGCCACCTTGTGTGAACACAGCAGAGGAAGGCGGCGCCGACTTAGCCGCCTGCTGTGTGTGAACACAGCAAGGGAAGGCGGCGCCGATTTTTGCCCCTCATTGTGATACAAGAGGCAGTCAGCAGGTGCAGGCGCGCCGCACGGCTCACCTGCTGACACTATATAGAACAGCAAAGTGGCGGCGCAGAGAGTCACCCTATCGGGTTATCTAGTTACTGTGCCAGCATGTGCGCTGCACATGGACTAGATAGTTAGAGTTGTATAAATAGACATGTATGGCAACTCAGTAAAGAGAGCTCAGATTTGCCATCACACAGACAGGGCCTCGGTCAACGCTGTTGTCTTATATTGTGCGTGCTTGCTCTGTTCTCCCTTCTTCTCCCAACTCCATCCGTAGTTTGTGGGTACGGACAACGCCGGTATGTGGTCTGCACGGCTAGTGGGTGCTCGGCAACACTAGCGCGTGCTCGACGAGACCGTCAAGTGCTCCTCTCGTCTGAGCCGGTGCATGGCAAGATCGGCTAGAGTGGTTCACTGACGTGAGCCGGTGATCCTGTGAGACCAAGGGTGGTCTGGAGGCTATCTGTAGTGGTCTGGAGGCTATCTGTAATGGTCTGGAGGCCATCTCGGTGGTCGGGAGGCTAACTGTGGGCCATCAAATACCCATTATACAATACAATTCGTTCCTAGAAAATCATAGCCTAGTTAGCGTTCAGATCCACTGAGGATTACACTTTTTGTTGTTTCCTGCATATCTAAATATTCGATAACGCTATGTGTCTTACGTCCGACATGAGCAAATCCGTAGGCCCACCACCTCGTTGCTTGCGTTTTTACCCCGCCGCTCGCTTTGCTCGCGAGTTTATTAAAAAAATCACCCATCCTTGCGGCAGCCCGCCCGGACGTGGACGCGACTCTCCTCATTGTTGCGCGCCCCATCCGCCGCCGCCTCGCCGCGTCCTGTGCGCGCTTTTCGCCTCCCATCCCAAGACACCGCCCTGCTCCCTCCCCACAAGACACCGCCCTTCCTCCCATCGCGGCCCCATGCGCCGACCAACCTAAGCCCGGTCTTTGGTGATCTTTGGTGGCGGTGGTGCTCATGTGTGCCATTCTGTGGTCTTTGGATGCTAGTGCTGCCCGTGCACCGCCACTCACCGCCGGCTTCCACCCCAACGACCGGAATTGACCGACACAGGTGCTCCCCCCCTATGATGCAAATATATGTTTCAAGTGTTTCAAACGTTTCAGAGGTATGTTGCAGTTGTTTCATATGGATATTACAAAAGTAGATCGGGGATGTTCCATATGTTGCAAGTGTTTCAGAGACATGTTGCAAGAGTTTGTTCAAAATGTTTCATCTATTCCAGACGTATGTTGTAAGTTTTTTGATCTGGATGTTGCATATGTTTCACACATATGTTATAACAGTATGTTCTAAATATTTAATATGTTCCAGTCTTTCGTTGCAACCAGTGTTTTCATGTTGCAAGTTGCAAGTGTTTCTATCTGGATGTTGGATACGTTTTTACACATATGTGCAAGTGTATGTTTGAGATGTTTTATTTGTTTCAGACATATGTTGCATTCAAGTGTTTTCATATTGTGTTTCATGCTGTTCGTAGAGTCAGGGGTGTGGGGGAGTGATAGTGGCACGGCACGAGCGCTGGGAAATGGGCAGACGTGGCGTGTGGCATTCTGGGGGCCGGCGGTTGGGGGCACGATGGGGCGGGGTGCACCTGCGGGGCTAGGCGAACGAATGGGGATGGGGTGCGCGGATGGGGGCGGGTCGAATCGAGGCGGACGGGGCAGATTGCGAGCGAGTTGTACTGACGCGACGGCCGCACGATGCGCATGCAGGCAGGGCGAATTAGCGAGCATGGGGCAGGTTGTGCAGGCGAGCGCGGGAAACGGCAGTCCGACGGAATCCTATCCCATTGGAGCTGGGCGCCGCCTTTTTGACACCGCGATATTTAACCCCACAGGCAACTGCTTGTTCGGTTGTTCCCACCTTATTTCTGAGAAAAAGTTTAAGCAAGGAGCTTAACAAGACACCTATGGTTACTCCCTCCGTCCAGAAAAGAATGCAATTATGGGATCCGTGCCGGTCAAACTAGCTCAAGTTTGACCAAGTTTATAGCAAATAGTATTAATTTTTATGTCTCGAAATACATTTATTATAAAAATATATTCTATGACAAATCTAATAATACTAATTTTGCATCAGGAATGTTAGTATTTTTTATATAATTTTGATCAAAGTTCAAATTTATTGACTTCTCGGGAAACGAGAATTGTATTCTTTGTGGATGGAGGGAGTACCGTGCTTTCTATTCATGGAATAGCAGTTTTTTTTTTTTTTTACGTTGATCATGCAATGTCACAGTGATTCCATAATATGTTATCCCAAAACACAGCTTGAAATTGCAAGCATACATAGCACATTTGATGCTGAAGTTCATTTTGGCCTTTTAAATCTTCCAAATGTGACATGGTGAGGTAGCATCTATCGTTGTCAAACTACGCCTTTTGAAAATATAAAAAAATGGTGGTTTGGTAATCATTTCACTAAACAACAACAACAGCATAGCTTTTCAGTCCCAAGCAAGTTGGGGTAGGCTAGAGTTGAAACCCACCAAGAGCCCCAAGTCACGGTTCAGACACTTCAATAGCTGTTTTCCAGGTACTCTTATTCAAACATAGATCTCTGGGTATATCCCAAGCTTTCAGATATCTTTTTATCACCTCCCCATGTCAATTTCGGTCTTCCTCTGTCTCTCGTCATATTATTAGCTTGACTTAGGACTTCACAATGCACTGGTGCATCTGGGTGTCTCCTTTGGACATGGCCAAACCACCTCAACCGATGTTAGACAAACTTTTCTTCAATTGGTGCTACCTCTAGGCAATCACATATATCATCGTTCCAAACTAGGTCCATTCTTGTGTGACCGCAAATCCATCGCAACATACGTATTTCTGCAACACTCAGTTGTTGAACATGTCGAATCTTTGTAGGTTAATATTCTACTTCATACAACATCGCCGTTCTAATCGCCGTTCTATAGAACTTGCCTTTTAGCTTTTGTGGTACCCTCTTATCATAGAGAATGCCAGAAGTTTGTCGCCACTTGATCCACCCTGCTTTGATTCTATTGCTAACGTCCGCATCAATATCTTCATCCCTCTGTAGCATCGATCCTAGATACCGAAAGGTATCCTTCTTAGTCACTACTTGACCTTTCAAACTCACATCTCTCTTCTCCTGTATAACTCTGCCAAAGTCGCATCTCATGTATTCGGTTTTAGTTCTGCTCAATCTAAAACCTTTAGACTCAAGGGTCTGCCGCCATAACTCTAGTTTCCTATTTACTCCCGCCTGGATTTCGTCCACTAACACTACATCATCAGCGAACAACATACACCAAGGGATATCCCCTTGTATGTTCCTGGTAACCTCATCCATTACCAAGGCAAAGAGATACGGGCTTAAGGCTGACCCTTGATGAAGTCTTAACATCTCACTAAATTAAATTAAAATCAAAATTAAAATGCTATGTGGTAGCATGATATTAGCAAATTGACTAGTTCGAGCAAAAAAACATATTAGCAAATTGAGATATAAAAATTGGTGGTTTGATAATCATCTGACTAAACTAAATTTAAATTAGATTAAACACAATATGTGGTACCATGATAGCAAACTGAGATATCCACAACCGCAAAGAAAGGAGATGAGGCAATTATTATCCCTGTTGTTAGCTCTTCAGATTGAAAAGATCTTGGGCACTTGGGGCACAGTTTTTGGATTTAGTTTGCTTTTATGCTCTCCAGATATTGCGAAACACTTGGGCACAGTTTGCTTTTACGGAGAACAAACAAAAGTACAATCATTTTGTCATATATTTGAATGAACACTACAAACACTGCACATTATGGAAACATTGAAAAATTCAACAGGAGCACAAGTTGATGCAGAAAAACATGATCAAAACAGCAATGCTAAATCATGTTACATGTCAATCAAGCATCCAAAATAAACACACAAATAAAGGGAGAGAATCACCAGATATTCAAGTAGAACTTGATATACTGTTTCAAGTAACACAAATAGAGACAGAATCACCGGATATTCAAGTAGAACTAGATAATATTGTTTCAAGCAAGAGACCATCCAAAAGGCTCACAAGGCCTCCACACATAGTGATACTAGCACGATGACAAATGACATAGTATACTTATTCAGCTTAACTGGAACTAGACCACACTTAACATGCAAACAACGAGACCACACCTCTAAGCTGGCACAGCTCACTGACCACCACGAAGGCGGAGGACAAGGTGGAGGGTGGATTCCTTCTGGATGTTGTAGTCAGCAAGGGTGTGGCCGTCCTCGAGCTGCTTTCCTGCAAAGATGAGGCGCTGCTGGTCCGGAGGGATGCCCTCCTTGTCTTGGATCTTCGCCTTGACATTGTCAATGGTGTCAGAGGACTCAACTTCCAGGATGATGCACTTGCCGGTGAGGGTCTTCACGAAGATCTGCATGCCACCACGGAGACGGAGGACAAGGTGGAGGGTGGACTCCTTCTGGATGTTATAGTCAGCAAGGGTGCGGCCATCGTCGAGCTGCTTCCCTGCGAAGATGAGGCGCTGCTGGTCCGGAGGAATGCCCTCCTTGTCCTGGATCTTCGCCTTGACATTGTCGATGGTGTTAGAGGACTCGACCTCCAAGGTTATAGTCTTGCCGGTGAGGGTCTTCACGAAGATTTGCATCTGAAATGGACAGAGAGGTATGTGATTAACATGACGAATTCAAATCACAGACTGTGCATTGACATCTGAGAGATTAGTATAAGTAGCCTGGGCAATAATCTTCGAAAAAATATAATGATTACTCTGATCCACAAAAGTTGCACCTAATAAACTAGTAACAACAAATACAATAGAGCTATTAATCACATATGCTACAGAAACAAGCCTGGGTTATGAACAAAAATAGGTAGGATGACAACAAAGGAAACTAATTTTGGGCATTGCGGTATCCAATAGATTCATAAACGGCCAATGTACAAACAAAATTTTTCTCTACTAAAGAGTTATACATATGACATGTATAGGTACAGTATTAACAGATGAACAATAAAAACATCACAACTAATTAACTAAATAAATAACTAATAACTAAATAAACGATATTAAACATACAAACAATTAGGAATCCCAAAAGGCCAGACCGACAATAATCCCATCACAGTACGTAATTAGGAATCCCAAAGGGCCAGACTACTGACAAACAATAATCACATCAGAGTTCTACAGCATTTATCAATCTCATACAAATCAAAATGTAAGTAATCAGTTCTATATAAAAGTATTTACCCAGTCAAAGGCAAATGAGAATCTAGTCTAGAACTAACGAAGTATACGTACCCCTATCTTTTTCGCCAAAATCGGGAGAACCATCCCACGGAATTTGAGATGATTTGGCCAAATCGATCAAATGAACTGGAACATGATTTGACTACAAACCCTACAAACCCACATGGATCAGACGTAACCCCACGAACCATAGTACTAACGCGGCGGCTAAAACGAACCATAGATCCGACGACCGCACTAACCCCTGACTCGGCGAAGAACTGTCAATGGGGAGATTTACCTTGATGATGAGAAGATTAGCGTCTGATAAGGTCGCCAATCAATAAGATGAGCGCCCGTGCGGGGCTCACCTTTTATAGGCCCAGTAAGGCGGTGCGAAGAGATATCAGGTGAGGTTACCGCCGCGGGCTCCCTGTGTCACAGCCAATGGATGCGGGCCACGTAGATCACAGCCGTTCGTTACCAATCAAGAAGAGAACCGGCACGCCATGTTTGGGCTGAAAGACGAGATATTGTTGTGCCAATAGCGAAGGTTTGTGGCCCAATTGAGGCCCAGGTTAAGCAGAAGATAGCAGCAGCCCAAGTTAATGATTCTCCAAAAAAAAAATGCAGCCCAAGTTGATCAACGGCCCCGCATCGCCACCGCCAAGCTAGCCGAGCCCAACTCGGTCTCCCTCTCCCGCATCGAGAGACGCCGTCCACGTCGCGCCTCTTCGTTTCCCGCACGCCGGCTGCGCCTGCGGCCGCGCCGCCGCCTTCTCATCTCCGCGCGCCCGTCGTCGTCGTCGCCTCCTCTCCTTGCTCGCGCCCCATCTGCTCGCGGCACGCCATCTCCTTCTCTCGAACGCCAACTCTCGTCGCGCTCCGGCGCCGGCGCTTTCCCGCCTGCTCTCCGGCGCCGACGAGGGAATGCTCCCCTGTTTCAGTTTCGGCGAGCGGGCGGCGACGGCAGCATAGTAGTGTCCTTAAGAGGAGCCATCTTCAGGTGGCATAAGGCGAGTGGCTTCGGCCCCGTCTCGGGGCCGGGCGCAGTTCGCCAGATCGACCTCCTCGACTAGTAAGTTCTTCTGATCCAGTAGGATTTCTTAGTTCGAATCAACATTTATAGGAAGTTTCGATCACATTATCTGCTGGTTACCGATATCTCACGCTAATGCTCTTCGGTGTTTGTTTGACCCGCTTAACTTGTAGGCCTGCTGTATGTGTGCTACAATGGCATCTCTGGGGCGAATTGGTTTCACCCGCAGACCCGCTTATTCAAATTGAACTTGTAGGCTTGTTGTATATGTGCTACAATGGCGTCTCTGGGGCGAAGAGCCGGGAGCTACATCTGCTTGGAGCTGTGTGGCATAGCTCTGAACCAGAGGCACTACTCCACTTCGAGGGTGGATTGGAAGCAGCTGCGGCCAATGATTCTTAAGAGGATTAAGAACCGGTCAAAGGAATACCCAATCAAGCGGATGATCCCGGTCGCAGAGGAGGTGGTCAGGGCAAGGGAGGTTGTCTATGAGGGTGTCTCCAGACTGCTCAAAGTTGTTCCTGTTCAGTCATGCAAGTAAGGAAAATAAATGTGAAGTTCTTGTCCTAACTGTAAAACGATAGTAAACCCAGTATGGCAGTATTACATATAGTACTCGTTATTGATGATTTGCTGGAAGTGCTTTTTTTATAAATAAATTAAAAAAAAAACTATAGCATCTTGAATTAGGCAAGTATCAAAAGGATTGAAGAAATGGAGAATAAAGTAGAGATACTATGAATGGATAGGTTACTGTTTTTCTTGTGTATCTTCACCATTTTAGGTTTTTATAAACACAATCCAATTCTTGTGATGCCAAGCTAAGCGTTCTCTGTGATATTTATGCCTGATTACAGTTTATTGATTTTGCCCTGAATATTTCTGCATTTTATGAGTCTGTTTAACACCTTCTGTATTGATTTGGACTGAAGGTTCTGTCCTGAAGTTCACATTGGAGCCACGGGTCATCAGATGAAAACATGCTATGGTTTCAGGCGTATGATCAAGGACCGACCACATGAATGGGATCCAGGCAACTTGAATGACATCCTTGTTCCTGTTCAGGCTTTCCACCAGAAAAACATGTTTGAGGATGAGATAAAGCATGACCAGCGGTTTGATTTCACTCGTGTCCCAGCTGTACTTGAGCTCTGCCATCATGCAGGTGCAGACATACCTGATGAGATTCTATACAAAAGTGATCAGATATCTACCACACTCAAAACCAACAATCAGCAACCTGCTCCAATCTTGCCAGATGAACTCAGATATATCGGTCTGAGAACACTAGATGCATGGGAAAGCCTGAGATTAGGTGTCACAAAACTCCTCTTGGTGTATCCATCCAAAGTTTGTAAGCATTGCTCTGAAGTGCATATCGGGCAGTCAGGGCACAAGGCCAGAATGTGTGGGGTATTCAAGTTTGAGGGCTGGAAAGGGATGCACAAGTGGGACAAGGCCGGAGTGGATGACCTAGTTCCTCAGAAGATTGTGTGGCATCGGCGGCCTCATGACCCACCGGTCCTTGTGGACGGCGGGAGGGATTATTATGGCCATGCGCCTGCTGTCATTGAGCTCTGCATGCAAGTGAGTGCAGTAGTAAACCCGAAATACCATTGCATGATGAAGACACATGGCTTAGCACCGCCTGTTCGATGAGACCATATGTCATAAAGTTGACTGCCTGGTTAGATACAGGAACTGTATAGATCAGACACCAAAATAATTTTATTTGTGAATGAAATTTCTAGAGTGCAAAAGACTGTTCTGGAAGAAGCCATCAGTTAACCGTAATGGCTAGCTGAGGAGATACGCTATTTTGAAGAGTATTACTGTTATCAGAATCCAGAAGGTGAGACTGAAAAGAAAAGATTTCAGAAGGTCAGTACCAGACACAACTATTACCTTGAAGGCCGGCAGACAATAGGGAAAATTTTGCATTGTAAAATATTAGAACAGATTACTTCAGTGCCCTTCATTTGTTCAGACTCCATTCTCTAGAATGGATGTAGAGCTTTAGGAGTAGCCTACTATCTTCTCTTCAGTGACTTGGCTCAGCTACATTAATAGCAATGTCGCCATTGATTTACGTAATCTTCATTTTGCCAAGAAGATTACCTAAATTACCTTGATAGTAGTGTCACTTCAGTGTCGAGTTTTCCCCCACACTTGGATTTTAACCTTACGGGCAATTTTGTTATGTGCAAGCCACGTAAACATATAAGAGATATTGACATATTCTGTATTGTATGTACCAAGTACTACACCCTGCTGTCAAAAGTCACGAGCATTCTTTCTTAAAGCTGTAACTTTGTGCACAGATTTTTACTTGTGTTCTTTTTTGCTGTGCTGCATACTGATGATTGAGTCACATTGGCTGACATCTGTTGTCGAAAGCTGGTTCTGATCTATTTTCAAAATGTGTTTCTGCTCTTTACCAACCCTGGTCGAGCCCTGCATCAACAACTGCTGAGTAAAGGGAGCTCTCGAAGTGAAGCTTTTTTTAATTTAAATCGTGTCACCAGATTAAACTACACTAAATTTGTGCTGAGATTGAAAGGTAAACAATTTTATAGCTGAGAGCTGAAAAGCTATAGGTTTTTCATAGTTGAGGACTGTAAAATGAACTTTCTCTCTCCTTTTTCCTATGACAACTACTTGTCTTCTCCAACATTATAATTCGATCACATATTAGTGTATTATTACTTTGTTTGATCTTTTGATAGTGAGATGGGTAGAAATATTTCCATAAAATATCTCATCAAATAAAAAAAAGTTATCATATTGATATCCAGAGGTTGCGAGTTCTTGTTGTCTTGTTAGGCCACCTGCTGATAGTTCATCGTCTTCCATGATCATACACTCGGCTGTTAGTAATTGCAGTTTTTTTTTTATCGAGTACAATTCGAACGCATACAACCCACACACTCACACCACACGCGTGCGTGTCCGTATACACGCAAAGAAAAGATTGAAAGGCGTCGTCACCTCCGGTGCGCGTGCGCGAGAAACGCGCAGTACCACCGAACGCGCACGTGTACCCTGAAATTTCTAGGAAAAGGTGTGATCATCAGGGTTTAAACTCTGATGGGTAGCGTCTCATTGGATTGTCCTACCACTGGACCACGGGCCCGTTCGCTAGTAATTGCAGTTACATTACACATGTATACTACTCCGTACGTGAGTTGGTATCCAAAGTCCCTCGCTTCCCTTTGACACCCCGGCCCCACTGCACAGTCTGTCCATTAAGAAATCGTTGAGGTGGCGGCAGGACAGTGACCCGGAATTGAGAGGGCAATATATCAGGTGCAAATCTACCAACTTGTGTAAATTTGAAAACTACCAATCAGGACCACTAGATGCTAATCCAATGGATGGGGTAAGGAGGCTTAAGCAAAAAAAAAAAAAGGCCCGACAGGTGGGGGGCTTAAGTGTAAAAAAATTCCACCTCTCATCCCACCCATTAGATCATCATCTAGTGGTCCTGTTTGGTAGTTTATAAATTTACATGGATTGGTTGGGGATAGGTTGCCAATCGAGAGACCGTGGCCGCCAAGTTTTGTTCCGCCGGATCAGAAACCGTAGAGGCCGCATCACACGGCCACGGTCCAGCCGCGCACGGCACAAGCAACCTCTCGTCCCAGACGCGGACTCCGCTTATAAATCCACGCCGCCGCCCCCCGTGCAGAGCACAATGCAAACCACGAACGCCAACAACAAGAAGATCGCATCGACCTCCAGCGCAAGAATCCCCAAAACCCAGCAAACCGCAGCCGCACCCGTGTCGTCGTTCAAGTTGGAGGCCAGCGGCGTGGCGCCGTCCGAGGTGGAGACCAAGACCGCCAAGAAGGCGCCGGCGCCAGCGCCGGGGCTCGCGTTGGAGGGGTGGGGGTTGGCGAGCTACGACTCCTCTTCCGACGTAGAGCAGGGCGCCGGTCCCGTGGCCGTACGCGCCAAGTCGTCCGCGGCGGCGAAGAAGGGCGGGGCTAGTAAGAGCGGCGGCGGCGGCAAGGGCCGCGCGCCGTCCAAGGAGAAGTACCTGCTCCCGGCCGGGAAGAAGAAGCAGCCCGACGCCCCACGCGGCCGCGAGGGAGAGGAGGACGACCAGTTCATGCCCGGCTCGGCGGCGGCCTGCTCTCGCCGTTCGACCCCTTCGCGGACGCCGACGAGGACGGCGGCGTCGGCGGCGCGGGGGCGGCGCCCAAGGACGACGTGGTTCACCTCCGCGTGCAGCAGCGCAACGGGAAGAAGACGCTGACCACGGTGCAGGGGCTCAGCGCCGCCTACAACTACGCCCGGATCCTCCGGGACCTCAAGCGGGAGCTCTGCTGCAGCGGGGTCGTCGTGGAGGACGAGGAGCTCGGCAGCGTCATCCAGCTGCAGGGCGACCACCGCAAGGCCGTCGCCGCCTTCCTCGTCAAGGCCGGCATGGCCACCAAGGCCAACGTCAAGGTCCACGGCTTCTGAGTTCTGACCGCCGGGCCGCGCCGCGCCGCCTGTCGTCTCATCAGTTTCGATCCCATCGAGTTTAGTTTGTTTTAGTTGTCTTCGGATGCTTTGTTTCGTGATTTGTGTCTCGGTTTAGGGTGTGTTAGTTGGCAAAAATTTTTGGTTTTGGGGATTGTAGCACTTTCGTTTGTATTTGGTAATTAGTGTCTAATTATGGATTAATTAGATTTGAAAGTTTCGTCTCGTGATTTCTCACCCAACTGTGTAATTAGTTTTTTTTTTTTGTCTACATTTAATACTCCATGCATATGTTGAAAGATTCGATGCGATAAAAACTGCGCAAAATTTTTTAGGTTTTGGGTGGAAAAACATGCCCTTAGTTGAAAGGGCGTCGATCTTGTGCCGTTGGTAATATGGACTGCAGATGTCATTTTCTAAGAAAGTCATGTTAAGATCTCGTGTTTCCTTTTAGGATCAATAAAGCATACTTTTGCTGTCTATCTACGAATTACGATGTGCAAAAACACACAAACAGCTGATCAGACATTGCCTTCTGGTTCCAATTTCCAAGCACCTCCTCAGATGTACTCTGCAGCACATCCGCAACACCGATTTCTTAGCCAATTTCAGAAATTTGGCATGGTGCTGTGTGGCAGAGATATTCTGAATTTCCATGGATGGGACAGTTGAACGTGTTGTCTTGCACTGTTGTACACTTTTGAAGACCTTGCCTTGTTCAGAATATCATTATCGTTATGCTACCTTGTACAATCTCCTCCGTAAAAAAAAAAGCAATCCCAACTTTGAACCTGGACAGAAAAAACACAATCCTAGCTTTGAGAGTATAATTTTTCAGAATGTGCTAAGGGCGCGTTTAGATGCAAAATTTTTTGGTTTTTGGTTACTGTAGCACTTTCGTTTATATTTGGTAATTAGTGTCTAATTATGGACTAATTAGGTTCGAAAGTTTTATTTCGCGATTTCTCACCCAACTGTGCAATTAGTTTTTTTTCGTTTACATTTAGTACTCCATGCATGTGCCACAAGATTCGATGTGATGGGCGCGCAAAATTTTTTGGGAACTAAACAGGCGCTAACTCAACCCAAATTATGTCTTTCAGTCAAATTTGGTAAAATCCAATGTGACTCGGTATCTAATTACTTCTTCTGAATCTAAAAAGGCGCAATACAAAGCCTCGGTGTTTGTTTACTCTTTTTTTTAGGGGAGCGGTGTTTCTTTACTCGACCAGATGGCATGGATACATGGACTGGACTGTCATGAGCCGCTCTGAAGAAAGCCACCCGAGCTAACAATTGGATTGCCCTCAAAGGCATAGGCCGTGTTTCACAGGAGAAAGCCGCATGGGTCACGGCCCAAGTGAGATCCTCGCTAGCGCTGTGACTGAGCGCTGAAGCCCAAGTGGAAGGCCGCAACCGAACCGGCGCGAGTCCAACGGAAAGGAACACACCACTGCGCACGGTCCCCACCAGTCAGGGGCACTGCCTCGCCACTTGTCCCCTCCGCCGCCGGGACGAGCAACCGCTGCGCCCCTCTGTCAGCGTTGTACCTGTGCACCAGCCGGCAACGGGCGCTGACCAGGCGGGCTCTGAAGGCAAGAAGAAGGCCCAAGTGAAGATGGATCGCCAAGTTCGGCCCAAGTCCAAGAGTGTGCACTTCTTCGGCCCAGAGTGGCGTCGGGAGTGAGCCAGAGGCAAGCGGGTGCGTGAGTCGCCGTTCGGCTTATATGTAGCGTAGTGGAAAAGGTCTGGATATGAACAATGTATGAACCTTCTTCCAAGTTATCGAGATTCCTCTAAGCTCGCCCCCGTGCTCTGCTTTTCTCCCCCAACTCCGATTCCTCCCTTCCAACCCTGGTTGCTTCCTCCCCTCCTCCGATTGCTGCTAACAATTGGTACTCGGAGCCCTCCTTCCTCGGCACTGCTTCTCGTTCCTCGCCTCGATCCCGGATCGTAACTCCCGTTGGCAGGTTGATCACCAATCTCTCACTTCGGTGTGGATCGTGTGAACCCGTAGGTCCGAGCCAAGGCTAATCTGATCGGCGTTGAACCGGAAGTCGGTTGCTCGCCCACCCCATCCTGGAGCCCCACCACATAGATCACGACCACTTCACCCGCTTTCGCAGAGATCGGGGAGCAATGGAGCCCAACTTCAAGTTGATGCTCGATGAGATGAAATCCATGAAGTCGTCGCTGGAGAGCAGTATCGCCAGCGTGAACACGACCCTCGGCAACCGCATCGGTGCCGTGGAGCGCACTCTCGCCGACCGCTTTGGCCACCTCGAGGACGCAGCCAAGGTGTTCGACGAATGGAAGCCCACCGTGGACGCGTCGGTCAAGGAGCTCCGCTTGGAGATCGGTGCGATTCGCAAGTCGGAGGACGCTGTGGAGAAGATACGGGAGGAGATGACAGCCCTACGCAAGACCGTGAGCCGCGCAGCTCTCGACGCTGCGCCGACCGCCGCATCAGGCGTCCTGCCTCCTCCGCTGGTGACCGCGGCTTCATCTTCCGCCGGTCCCAAGGGTACTGGCCCGTTTGTTGGACACGGCGTTGAGCACCATCACTGGGGATTCGAGTTCCAAACTCTGTCCCCGGTCAAGGGTACGCACAGTCACTTCCCTCCCTTTACCCACCCTCATCCGCAGTCCCTTCCTCGTCCTACTTTTGCGCTGCGTAAATCATACTCTAGTTCCATGCTGGATACGGGTCAGGCCACGGTGGAGCTGGGGTTGGGAACACAGGAGGCACCTGAGCTCTGGGATCCTAACCAATCTACTGACAAGCTACCTAAACTGAATTTTCCCAAATTTGATGGCGAAAACCCACGCCTATGGCTTCGCAACTGCACTGATTATTTTGAGATGTATGAGGTGGCTCCGCGTCGCTGGATCAAGGTATCCACGATGCATCTCACCGGGGCCGCCGCGCGCTGGTTTCCCGCTATTGAGCAGCAAGTGCTCAGGATGTATTGGCCACAATTCACTGCCTTAGTGATGGAGCGCTTTGGCAAAGACCAGCACGAACTGCTTATCCGTCAGCTCTTTCACATCAGGCAGACGGGTAGCGTGCAAGAATATGCTGACAAATTCACTTCTATCGTTGATGGCTTAATAGCTTATGGCAAAAACACTGACCCCATCTACTATGCTATGAGATTTGTTGATGGCTTGCGCGACGAGATTCGTACTGTTGTCCATATGCATCATCCTGGTACTTTGGATACTGTCGTGGTTCTCGCCTTGTTGTAGGAGGAAATGCTGGACTCGTTGCGGAAGGAGTTGCGTCGTCCGGACGCGTACCAGTGGGCCAAGCTGCCTCCGCGCGCACCACAACCCCAGCTGGTGCCCGCCGGGCGCGGTGATCGGTAGGAGCGTGCGCCGGGAGCCATCGCGGGTGATGATGGCCGGCGTGGGCGCGGTGTCGATGCCAAGTTGAACACTCTGCGTGACTATCGCCGAGCCTGCAGCCTCTGCATCAGGTGTGGCGAGAAATGGTCTCGCGACCATCGCTGTCCTGAGCAGATTCAGCTGCACGTGCTCCAGGAAGTCTGGGACCTCTGTCATGGTGATGATTGTGCTGATCAAGCGGTACCTGAGGATTCTAATGTCGAGGCTCAGCTGTTCATGACTCTTTCTTCAGCAGTGGTGTCTGATCACGCTTTGGCTAGTACGATGCAGTTCTTGGGGGAAGTTCAGGGCAGGCAGGTCCGTATATTGTTGGATTCTGGCAGCTCCAATACATTTGTCAGTGCTTCCCTTGTAGCTCATCTTCAAGGCAGTTCCGATTGTGTTCACCCCACCCGAGTGATGGTGGCAAATGGTACTCAGATGTTGTGTGATACTAAATTTAAGCAATTGCAGTGGTCAGTACAGCAGTGCTCTTTTGTGTCTATGGCCAAGGTCCTTCCTCTTTCACAGTACGATCTCATTGTAGGCATGGATTGGCTCACGGCGCATAGTCCTATGGAGATTGATTGGAGATACAAGTGGATGATTATAACATATGAGGGTACTTAGATGCACTTGCAGGGTCAGTTGGACTCCCTTCCAGTGGGTACAATTTTACAGATCACTGCAGTGAAGGAAGACGCTTTAGACGGCAGCTCATCATCTTGTCTGCCAGATTTAGCAGCTTTATTGTCTGAGTTCAACGATGTATTTGACCTACCACAAGGCTACCCACCCGCACACCACTGTGACCACGAGATTCCTCTCGTTGCTGGTGCTGCTCCAGTGCAGGTTCGGCCTTATCGTTACCCTCCGGCCGTCAAGACTGAAATTGAGCGTCAAGTTGTAGAGATGCTGAATTCAGGACTCATCTAGCCAAGCAGCAATCCTTTTTCGTCTACAGTACTCTTGGTCAAGAAGAAAGACGGATCATTTCGTTTCTGTGTTGATTTCCGTCAGCTGAACGCCATAACAGCTAAGTGCAAGTACCCTGTCCCAGTTATTGAGGAGTTGCTGGATGAGTTACGAGGGGCCTCCTGGTTTTCTTCTTTGGACTTGATCGTTGGCTACCATCAGATACGTCTGCGCCCTGGCGGAGAACCCAAGACGGCGTTTCAGATCCATTCTGGGCAATATGAGTTTCGGGTGATGGCTTTTGGGTTATCTGGAGCTCCAGCCACTTTTCTTAAGGCCATGAACACCACATTGCATCCTCTCCTTCGCAAATGTGTTCTAGTTTTCTTTTATGACATCCTCATTTTCAGCAAGTCTCGTGAAGAACATCTCGTCCACCTACGCTTGGTGTTGGAGCTACTCCGCCGTGACAAATGGCAAGTCAAGATGTCTAAGTGCTCTTTCTTGCAGCGACAACTCCGTTATCTAGGCCATGTCATCTCTGAAGCCGGTGTGGCTACTGATCCTAAAAAGATCATCGCAATCAGCAATGGCCGGTACCTCTGTCTGTCAAAGATCTACGTAGTTTTCTGGGGCTTACCGGCTACTATAGGCGTTTCGTCCGGCACTTTGCAATCATTGCCAAGCCGTTGACTGAATTACTCAAAAAGGGTGTCCCCTTTCATTGGACCGAACCACAAGCTAACTCCTTTCAGGCACTGAAAGATGCTCTTACCTCAGCACCGGTACTGGCTCTACCAGATTTCAAGAAGCCATTCTGTGTAGAAACTGACGCCAGCGGCATTGGCATTGGCGCAGTACTGATGCAAGGGGGACATCCATTGGCCTTTCTCAGTAAGGCATTGGGCCCATGGTCTCAAGGGTTGTCGACATACGAGAAATAATATATGGCTATCCTCTTAGCGCTGGATCAGTGGCGTGCCTATCTGTAGTATGGGGAGTTTCATATTTTGACTAATCAAAAAAGTATGAGCCAGCTGACTGAACAACGGCTCCATACCCCTTGGCAGCAGAAGGTCTTCTCTAAGTTATTGGGCTTATCTTACAAGATTGTCTACAGGCAAGGGACTGAGAATCGAGCTGCTGACGCTCTCTCACGCTACCCAGTCGGCTCCTGTACTGCTATTTCAGTAGCTGAACTGCACTGGTTATCTGAGGTCACCAAGTCCTATGTTGCAGATGAGCATGCCTAGTCTATCATCACGCGTCTGACTGTAGATGACCAATCGGTGCCCACTTTACTTTCATCAACGGTCTTCTGAGGTATAAATCTCGCTTATGGGTGGGTGCCAACACTGAAATTCAGCGACAATTGATCTTTGAGTTGCATTCCAGTGCTTTGGGGGGCATTCTAGTATTCCGGTTACTCTCCGCCGACTGAAGCAATACTTTGCCTGGACTGGTATGAACAAGGCAGTGCACGATTTTGTCTCTGCTTGTCAGGTGTGCCAGCAGGCCAAGCCCGACCATTCCAAGTTACCAGGTCTTCTTCAACCTCTCCTAGCTCCAGATCGTGCTTAGCGGATCATTTCCATTGATTTCATTGAAGGGTTGCCAATGTCGGGGTATGTTAACTGCATCTTGGTCGTGGTTGACATCTTTTCTAAGTATGCCCACTTCATTGGATTGAAGCATCTGTTCACTGCAAGTTCTGTGGCCAAGCTTTTCTTCTCCAATGTCTTCAAGCTACACGGCTTGCCACAAGCCATTGTGTCGGACAGAGACCGCATCTTCACGAGCAAGCTTTGGCAGGAACTCTTCAAGCAGGCAAAAGTGGACCTGCGCATGTCTACTGCTTATCACCCGTAGTTCGATGGTTAGACCGAACGAGTCAACCAGTGTCTTAAGACCTTTCTTCGTTGTTACACTCATGCATGTCCTAAGCAGTGGAGCAGCTGGTTGGATTTGGCCGAGTATTGGTATAATACTAGTTTCCACATTGCCGTGGGTTGTTCTCCATTTGAAGTGATGTATGGCTATGCCCCTGGCGCATTCGGTATTGAGACTGCTCACAACTCTTCTATCACTAATCTGGCCTCTTGGTTATCTGATCGAGCTCTCAACACTGAACTGATCCGTCAACATCTACTCCGTGCCAAGCAACACATGAAGAAGAATGCTGATCTACATCGCTCCGAACGGCAGTTTGAGCTCAACGACTGGGTCTACCTCAAGCTCCAACCGTATGTTCAATCTTCCCTTGCTAAGCATTCCCATCATAAGTTGGCATTCCAGTTCTTTGGACCTTATCGCATTCTTGCCAAGGTCGGTTCTGTGGCGTATCGTTTGGAGCTTCCACCCTCGTCTGCCATTCATCCAGTTTTTCATGTTTCCCAACTTAAAAAGGCGGTGGGTGCGGCTCATTCTGTGAATCGTCGCTTTGGAGTATTCCTGAACGAATTCTGCAGCGGCGCTACCTAAGCCAAGGTACAACTTCTGTTCTGCAGGGCTAAATCAAGTGGACTCATCTTCCGGAATCGCTGGCAACCTGGGAGAATCTCATCGATCTTCAACAGCAGTTTCCTCGCGCTCTGGTCTGGGATCATCCAGGTGCACAAGAAGGGGGGAGTGTCAGCGCTGTACCTGTGCACCAGCCGGCAACGGGCGCTGACTAGGCGGGCTCTGAAGGCAAGAAGAAGGCCCAAGTGAAGATGGATCGCCAAGTTCGGCCCAAGTCCAAGAGTGTGTGCTTCTTCGGCCTAGAGTGGCATCGAGAGTGAGCCAGAGGCAAGCGGGTGCGTGAGTCGCCGTTCGGCTTATATGTAGCGTAGTGGAAAAGGTCTAGATATGAACAATGTATGAACCTTCTTCCAAAGTTATCGAGCTTCCTCTGAGCTCGCCCCCGTGCTCTGCTTTTCTCCCCCAACTCGATTCCTCCCTTCCAACCCTGGTTGCTTCCTCCCCTCCTCCGATTGCTGCTAACACCCTCCCTCTCTCGCAACTTCCCTTGTGAGGTCTGACGAATGGAGCGGTTCGAGGAAGGAAACAGAGCCCCCACCCCCTTCTTTACTCTGGCCGTCCGCAACACTGGACGGGATCAACAACAACGCCAGGGCGGAGAGCGGGGTCGTGGAATGGACTCCAAGTTCGCGCCCCGCTTCTTCTATTCTCGTCGACTTCGTCTCCAGGGCCCAGCAGCGGCCGGCGGGCTCGCTCCCCGCGCGGGCGCTGCTGCCATGGCGCCTGCAGTGGCGGAGGCAGAGCCGGCGGCAGATCTTGGTGAGTCCGCTGTGCTCGGTTCTGTTATTCCCTCTAGCTCTCACTGGTTGAGTCTGGGTTGCTCATGCTGTTGCGCTTGTTGGTTTGTTGCTGCAATCCGCTATGGCTTTGTTGCTCAGTGAATATACTAGGTGTCTGGAGTATATATAGTAAAAAAAGGGCCTGCTTTCTCTTTCGCATCCGTTGTTTTTATGCTCTTGCACTTTTTTCGCTCACTTGGATTTCTCGTTTTGGTGCTATGTATTTAGATATACATACATAGTAAAATGCAATGTATGTACTTTGATATACATATGTAGTAAAAGAAAAGCAATGTATCTTTAAAAGTCTTGTAAAATTTGGATATTTGCCGGTCAATCTGCGGTGTCTGCGGTAACAGAGTCGGGGAGAGTAGCCGTTTAGCCGAGTCGGAGAAAAATCGCGTTTTTTTCTCGCAATGTGATTCCTGTAGCTACTCGACTGTTCCGTCTGAGGACTGTTACTATGTCGTTTCTGTTTAATCGACCGTTTAGTCCGTCTAGAAACTTTGACTGTTCCATTGATCATTTAGTCCGTCTCACCGTCACAAAAGTTCCACAAGGAACGTGGTACGTGGATCGCTAATTTTAAGTTCCCGGTTCACAAGCTACGGCAGCCCCTCAGGAGGTTGAGGCGTCGGTGGCGGACACCGGTTCCCCGACGACGGCTGCTCAGTGGACGACAGACTTGTCTCTGATGTCGCCAGTGCAGGGGCCGCCACAACTCACGCCACCACGAGCGGGACCACCCAGCGTCGCAGAGGGTTACGCCACCCCCAGCGACGCGCCGCCCACACCACGCGAAGCTGCACGACGTCTCACACGCTTCACTGAGGAGGTGCAGCTCGAGCGAATGTCGCCTCTAATCCCCAGTCCACCCAGGCAGAAGGTGGCAACCAGAGGGCAACCCATGCCTAAGCGAAGCAGACGGATTGTCGCTCAGCCGCTGGCGCACATTCCGATCTCCAAGCGGGGCCAGGTGCTCCTCATGCGGAGGATGGGCTTTGCACCGCCGGCAGGTCCAATCTCATCCGCGTCCAAGAGAGCTTACGGCGACTTTTTCGCAAGGAACTGGACGTCGAGCGAAGTGGAAGCACTGGACGAGCTGTTCCCAGCGACCGTTGCGACGATTGGTACAAGGCTCTTCTCGGATGACGGAGCAGAGTCGCGCGGCCATTAGCGGAGACGCACAGCTCCGTTGGTTACCGCGCTGCTCGTAGTTCGGTTGTTTATTTTATGTAATATCGAAGTTTCAAACAGTCTGTTAGGATGGTCCAGTCAAACTATAAGACCTCCTAGGACGCTCATTAGAAAAGTGTCGTCTGTATGGTTAAACCTCTCTTCTTCTTAATTACAATGATACGTAAATCTTTTGCGTATTCGAGAAAAAAAAAACAAGCATATACCTCGGGATGTTTGGTTCATGGATAAGATCATGATGCCTAGATAACTGAGACGACGTATCCGGAACGTAGTATGACACGAGGATCTTAATTTTTGTCATTTCACCTGATTATTATTTTTTTGCCATTTTCCCATGATTTTTAGAACTTTTTTGCTGCTATTACTTCACACTGGGCTGGAGGCCCATTTACGTTAGGTGTGAAGTGCTCGCTTGCTCGCTCCATTAGTCGAAGCATCGCTCCCAGGTCCCAGCGCCGCCGCCGTCCGACGGTGCTGCTGGTACGCCGTCCCCTTCTCTCCTTCTCTTGATCCGGTTCTTTTGGTACGCCGTCCCAGGCACGTTCCTCCCACCGTACCGCGCCGTCCCCGTTCCGCGATCCGGAACCAAAGTTCCGGGAACGGGGAACGCCGCAACGTACCGCGTTCCGTGTGACTGCCGTCTACGGTTTAGTCCGTCGAGGGACCGTTAGTACGTTGTTTCTGTTTAATCGACCGTTTACTCTTTTATTAGTAGTTTTTTTCCCTTTAATTGACCATATGTCCCTTTTATTAAAAGTTTGTTTTGCCGCTTAAGCGGCTACGATGGTTTAACAACAAGTGACCGTCTGTTAACCGTTTAGTTTTTAAGTATAAATAACACTGCCCGTAGCTTATGGATTTTTTTTCTGCATCAGGGCGTCAGGTGGGGATATCGCCGGCGACACCCGACATTGTCCGCAAGCCAACGCGGGCGTCCGGGACACCCGCTGCAGATGGCTCTTGCTGCACTGCTCTGTACACCAGCGCGGCTGCTGGCCCCAGAAAGGTGGACAGCGAGTGCCTGGCCTCGGTGCCGTCGCATGCCCATGAACATTCTCAGTCCGCCATGCCGGAGGATTTGGGCCAAGTGGGCTGTGATCCGGTGGGCACGCAGGAGTCCAGCACCTTGCCTCCACTGGTGGGCGAGTCCTCTGGCAATCTTGCACAGCAAGAGCAGCAGCAGCACCAGGAAGAAGGTGTTGCTAGTGGCAGCGATGCAGGTGCTGCTTCTCCTCCCATACTCCTATTCCGGAGAAGGTGGAGCCCACATCTCGGAGGTGGGGGAAGAAGTCGACCAAGGGGGTTCAGCGGCTCAAAGTGGCCAAAGATAAAGTGATGAAGCCCAAGGTGACCACGCCCAGTACAGTCAAGAAGAATAAGAAGAAAATGACAGAGGATGGTAATCAACGTGTTGGTGCTGCCAGGTCTAATAGTGCAAGACGCAAGTTGGATTTGGATTCATCAGAAAGTAAAACATGTTTTAGCAGAGCCGAGCTGATGGGTAACTTGATGTCCCTTGCCAAGATTCATGGTTTAAACAGTGAACCGACTACGCGCAAGAGGAGCAAGAGAGGGAAGAAGAGGAAACTGATGGTAGGACACAAGGAAAGTGGTCAGCTGGCATTTTTGCCTTACCAGAGAACTCCAACTGTTGCGGCATCCTTTGCACTTGAGCCACTTTGGTATTCAACAGAACTTGATATCCCACGCCCTCAAAATCATGGGAAACTGCAAGCTAAGGTTTTGGGCCTTACTGATGAAACATTGAGGGTGTTTGCTGTTCTGACAGAGTGGGATAGGAGCGACAGTGAGAGTTTTGAAGGGTTTGATATTGGCAGCGGACCTGAATGGGATACAGCACGGCGCACGTTTGAACATTATGTGGATATATTCATTGCTGAAATGTTTGCCCTAATTGGTAATTATTCTGGCCCTTTTTATGCTTTCGTGTGTCAAAATGCAAAATGCAAGAAAGAGGATCACATTACCTTTAATAAAAAGTGACAGCACAAAAAAAATGCCTTCTAATCTAACTTGTCTAAAAAGCTTAGGAAATCTTGCACTAGTGCAGGTCACTCCATAAGCTTAGTTTTTCTCCATTTGTGTCAAAAAGCTAGAATGAAAAATATCTTGTGGAGTCAACAGGAAAAATGATTTCTTGACAAAACTCAAGCATTGTGAACTGATAAAATGAAATTCAGAGTTAAGTCAATTTCATATTTCGCAGAACAAAATAAAAAAAAATCTTGTAGATAATTTGTTGCCTAGATCAAGAAATAGTTCTTCCAGTGAGACATTAACTTCATTTGTTGAAGTTATTCACTGAGATGCCACTCCTCTATTTCCCTTTCCTTCTTTTAGATTGTACACTTCTTTTAAATGTATGTTAGCTTCTAAATTGTGACCAAAGATCCAATAATGTGTGCATGAAATTTTTTCTGAGCAAACATCAGTTATTCAAACATAGACATTGGGAAGTCCTATGGAGAAGCAAACACCTGTTGCATGGCTGTCAACAGTTCACATTTTTATGAACAAAAATCATGTCTTGCTTCTACAGTAGTTAGTTGTATCAGATCAGTAAGCCATACAACCTACTGTCTCTATGGGATACATGAGTATGAAATGGTTTCTAATTTCTTAATTGCTTTCATCAGGGCCTAGAAAACATTCTCAGTGGGGAGGATCCCTAATTGATTCTGTGGTTGGTACTTTTCTTACACATAATTCTGCTGATAATTTATCAAGGTAAAATGAGGATCCATAAATATGATTTTAGAATGTTCATATGTTTTATACCAGAACTAATTACCTCTTTTTCCACTTTCCTACATTTTTCGTTCCTTGTCCATGGAAAACAGCCAAGCTTTTATGAACCTAGCGGCAAAGTTTTCTCCAAGGAAGAGACACTATAAAGCTAATGCAACTCCATTAGTAGATGGTGATGATAAAAACGTGAACTCAAATGAAGCATTGGATATGTTTGACTTCGTCGATTCACATTTTGATGGATACGTTGATTCTGAGGAAGAAGTTGACTATGATACAGAGGTGAAAGGGCATTATGGTGAAGATGAAGACTACAATAGACTTATAGGTAATTTCGCTGCCAGTATGAAGCAGAAAAACATTTCTACTTGGGACAGTGACCTTATGAACTTAGTGAAGGATAAATCAGGAAATCCAGTATGCACTGAAAAAAACTTGAAAAGGATCTTAGCTTCACTACAACAACAACCAGACACAGCATCTAATTGGAAAGAGTTATGGGAGGAAGCATATAAAAAGGGATACAATGACAAAAGTCGAACTGAAACAAGTGATGTTGTAGATTGGGAATCAGTTCTAAATGCGCCATTTTCTGAGGTTGCAAAATGCATTGCAATCAGGGGGCAGCATAACATTTTGTAAAAATGGATATCTGGGTATGTTATTGCAAGACAAAAACTGCCATCTACTTATTTCTAATATTTTGTCCAAGTTTTTTTTTGTGGCATCACTTGGTGGGTTTGAATTTATAGCTAACTTCTTACTGAAAAGTTCTTGTTGATGAATGCACTCATCTTTGAAAAAGTTAGTGTTCAACATTTGTAATCCTATTAAAAAAATTGTAGTGAAATTATATTTATAAAGTTATATCCAACATTTTTGTTGCAAGAATAAGTTTCTAAAATTGTATCCAAAATTTCTGTAGACGGGAAACTTTCTTCAGATGGAGTTGTTTCTTTTACATGTGTATTTAGTGGAATGAGTTTTGTGCATCACATGCCTGTTGTGCTATTAGAGATAATATTATAATCTAAACCTCAAAATTAAATATCAGTCTTTTGTTCTGTTCTTTCCCAGGAGAGTCACCGTGCATAAATATTTTCTGAGATTTTTTTATTGTTGGCTGTTTTTATTAATACTGTACATATTTATTTGCTTAAATTATTTATTTCATCAAAACATATGCTTTATCCATATGTTATGATTTTTTATGCCAACTGAAGCAGGTAAATGAACTCTTATAGGAAGAAAATGTGAGAACTCTAGTCTCCTGATAGGCTGTTCAAGTGTTATAGAGCATTGTTATGAGTTTGCTGGGTCGCTGCAAAATTTGATGTTAATCTATGCATTCTAATTGGCATATACTTGCAATACTTAATGTTGGAAGGCATATTACATTTTGATGCTTGGCATTTTATAAGTATGGGAATGGACGTAGTAGTATCTTTTTAACGAAAATGACTTGACACATCTTGTATCATCTACAGTGGACTCTTTATTCAATACAACCAAATGTATTTCTCTATTTTACAACCACCAGATTATCACCAATCTTTCTTTTTCTTGGGATGAAAGTGCTAAAAGCATTCTTTTACCTTTTTACAGGAATTTCTCGATCATGTACAGAAAGCTCAAGATGGAAGCTTTGACCTGGATTGGCTTAGATTTATATCACCTGAAAAAGCCAAGTATGGCTTTGCTCATAGTACATATACTACTGCCAATTGCTTCACCATTTTGCTCTATTCTTTGTGGTGGCTGTTGTTGAAATATCTTCAAAGAATAATATTCCTTTTTATTGTATTTGTGCCTGTGAAAAATTAAACAACTTTGTTAAGTATTTCTTTTATCACCTAGATTATTTTTAGGAAAACAGTATTAGTGGACACAGTACAACTTAACAATTGGTTGTCTAAAACTGTAAGAATAAGAACATGGAATTTTTCGGAGCTACCAGGTTTGTCATGGAATCAAACTTTTAGTTAGGAACTGCTACCAGGTTATGAATCAAGAAAATCAAACTCTTCCACAGTTATATACAATCTACTTGCATAATGGAATTCCATCTCCCAAAATTTACTTACCTTGCAGGTTTGCCCCTTTTTTTATTATTTTTCTTGGCACTAGAAAAATTTTGCTCAGTATACATGGGTTTGGAGTGAAAAGTGTTGACTGCCTTTGCCTTTTGTCATTGAGGCATAGAGCATTTCCAGTAAGTTATACTTTGTCATTCTATAGAAAATACGGTCAAGCGCGAATGCTGACTCCATGCTTATTTCAGGTTGATGTCAATGTAGCTCGCATAGTGACAAGGCTAGGATGGGTCAAACTTCAGCCCTTAAACGGTGCTGATTTCCATCTAATTAACCTGTAAGATTTGTCTAGGTTGAATATGAGAATACCATTGTAACAATTTTCTCCTTATTCTTTTGTTATAATAACAATTTTCTCCATATTTCCTTTTTTTTGTTTCGTGAAGATATCTGCTCTTGGATGATGTACAAAGGTACTTATGGCCTCGATTGTGCACCATTGATAAGGAAAAGCTGTAAGTCCACAATCTCTTTTGAAGATTAGTAGCACTTCACCGTTACTCTTAGTCTCTAAGCATATCCATCTGACTACCTGTACAAAAATAGGTATGAACTGCACTGTCTTATGATAACTTTTGGAAAGGTACGCATATATTCTAAGTGAGTTATATTTATGTTTTGCTATGAATATTTTTCAACTCTGGCTGTGGTTGATTGATTTCATGATGCAGGTAGTGTGCACAAAACAAAATCCAAACTGCAGAGCTTGTCCTTTCAGTGCAAGTTGTATATATTACAATAGTTTACTTGCCAGGTTTGTTCATGTACTGTTGTTTGTAGACTGTGCCTTAAGTATTTGTATAACTTTATGCCATTTAAACTTAGCATCCATTTAACTAATATATATCATAACAAATAGGTATTATCAGATACCATTAGTTTAGATTAGATTTTCAAAAATTAATTACTAACAACATAACTAAACCTATTCAAAGAACCAATCAGATGATAATAAGCCAAAAGAAAAGAGAGTGCTCCTGTAAGTTGTCACATTTACGACAGTATGAAAGATGGGTGCTCTGAATTATCGTAAGGAATTTCAGGAAACCAGCCAGTTAAGTGAGCAAAGCCAGCCATGACTTCTCCATTCCCACGCACAGTAACGTGGGTCCACCTTTGTTACGCAGTTTGTTGCTTGACCATTAAGTTATGAGAATTAGGAAGTTGTATTCCAGAATTTTTCCAGATTATAAGGATTGCATTCCATATATTAGATCCAATGTATTAAGGTTACTTTGAGGCAAGTCATCCTCCAGCTGCCACACCTTCCTCTTTCCCAGGTGTTTTACAAACCACGTCCAGTGATATGGGTCCATGACAAGAAATTTGTGACTTATTTAGGGGTGGGGGTGGGGGGACTTGTTTGGTAGACTTCATTCATTATTGCTTTCAATTAGGAAAAGGTTACCTTTCACTCAACTCTTCAGGTTGTTTTCCGTCTTAACCCTTAGTTTTAAAACAATTAATTTCTTCCTCTATTCACCTAACTCAAACCAGTATTATTGTGTCTTGTATTGCTGAGTTGGAAAGATTCTTGTTGTTTTCAGAAAGCCGCTTCCTCTTCCAGAGAAGCATGAACATGAACAAGGAGAACAGCAAGCAAGCATGGTTGTTTCTGGGAGTTGCACACCAAGTTCTCAACAAATGTATCAGTATCAAATTCCAATAAGCAGCACTACTGAAACACCACCCATCCATAATTGCGAGCCAATTATTGAGATGCCACCAAGCCCAGAATATGAATACAACAGAACACCTAATGAGCAAGAAGATTCCTACGAAGATTATTATGCATGTGATATTGAAGATTTTGCACCAGAAGGAGTACAGTATGAGTATGATGCTGAAATAAATATTTGTTCAAGCAAGCATGTGCTGAACAGTAATTCTTGGACACCGAACCGTGGAAAGGACTTGGCTGTGATCAATCCAAAGGGTAGCTTTGGCCGAAATAAAAAACTAAAAATATCGGTCGTCTTAGGACAGAACACAATGCGTAAGTAATTTTGATTTCTTGATATAATTTTGTCCTTAGAAATCAGCAGCACCTCTCTAAGTTCTTTTTCTAACTTCAGATACGTCCTCCCAGATGATCATCTAATCCTAGAAGAGGTGTGCTTTAATTGTGAACTTTACTACAATTATGAGTTATATTTTTCTTTTACACTGACATTGATTAATCTAGTGACCTATTTGCTTGTGCACCAGTTCGAAGACAGAGTTCCAGAAGATAAATGTCCTTACCTACTAGTGGTTCTTTCTTGTCCTGATGACTACACAGTGGAAGGCACGGTTCTGGTGAGCAACTACTATTATGATTTCTAACCAATCCTGAAATTCGCTCCTACGGGAGTTGAACCCAGGACCTGGAGGTTCTGCTTAGGAGTCACAACCACTATGACTTTCACTCAGCTGCTTTACTGATCTTTGATGGATCAGCCATGGCCTGGTTTTGATTTCAACCCAATCCCTTGGGGTTGGCTGGGTAATTAATTCGTTTTTCATCCCAACCAACCCAAGGATATTGAATTTTGTTCTCTTACATCCAAACATACCCTTCAATTCTGAGTTCTTATTCTGATTTAAAATTATTGAAAATTGCGTTAAAAAATTATTGAAATAACTTTGGCAACTCCTTATCACTTCTTTTTGTTGATGCAAATTCTTACATAGTTCTAATGACAACAATGTTCTCTCGCTCTCTCCTCTCTCTCTCAACTCACCATTGAACTATTTTTCCTCGATATTGCTGATTGAAGTTGTTACGTTCCCCTCTGTTTTGTTTTGTTATTCCTGAACCATTTGCATATGTGAATATGCAGATACCATGTCGGACAGCAAATAGAGGAAAGTTTCCGCTGAATGGTACCTACTTCCAGGAAAATGAGGTATATAGCCTTTAATAATCAAAGCAAATACCATACCAGATTGGTTGAACACTAGTCCATAAAAAATATACCCTTTTGTAGGTTTTTGCAGATTACTCGTCTAGCCGAAACCCAATAACTATACCTAGGGAATGTATTGGGATGCTGAAGAGAAGCGTTGTATACTCAATCACAAAAGGTATTATATAAGTGAAATATAAACATGAAAGACAGCCGTGAAATGATTGTTGATGAGTCATCTATAGAAGACTATATTTTTGAGGGGGGTCACGTCGCCGTTACTGTTCATCCGGCGCCCCCCTCACAGATCACCATAGATGAACAAGTAACGGATCACAAATGAACAGTATCCGACCCGCAAAGGAACAGTGCCAACCTTTTTCCGTTTTTTTTTTTTGCGTTCCATTTTTTTTTCCTTATTTTTCTTTTTCCTTTCCTCTCCTTCCCACGCGAAGCGTGGGGGCGCACGCTAGTTTAACTTAAATTCTTATCAACCTCAGGTCAAACAAGGGAAGATATCCAGGAATGCTTCAAGGAAGGTGTCAAGTGGCTCTGAACGTTTCTTGGTTTTCTTTTCTTTTGGCTGAGTCGTTGGTCTTCATCTCAAGGCTCTCAGGTCATAGATCATAGGTTCAAATCCCAGAATCATAGACGGAAAATCCAACATGTAATCCATCTAACAACCTGTGCAAGACAAATGAGCTTTGTGACATAGAAATTGCATGCTATGAAAGCATAGTATGTTAGCCCACAGGATCACCGGCTCAGGTGAGTCGATCACTCACTAGTCTTACCGAGCACCCGCTAGTGTTACCGAACACTCACTAGCTATGCTGACCATGAACAAGCGTTGTCCGACCATACACACTATGGCTAGAGGTAGAAGAAGAGGGAGAACAGAGCATACACACACATTACAAGCACCAGCGTTGGCCGGAGCCCTGTAAAGGAGATGGCAAATCTGAACTCTCTTTGTTAAGTTGCAGTGGCAAACTATATATACAACTCTATCTATCTAGTCCTAGTACAGCTCCCATGCTGCTACAGTGACTAGATAACACAGCAGGACTGACTTTTGCGCCTGTCCCTGCATGTGGCTACAGTCTGGCAGGTGAGCCGTTCGGCGCCTGCCTTTTCAGCGCCGTCTTCCCTTGCTGTGTGTTCACACAAGGAAGCAGTAGATTATTTAACAATTCTTTCCATAATTCTACTGCTATCCCTTGTAACCCCTCCATGCCGATCATTCCCTTCAGCTCCGTGAGTCGAAGACGTCCGAGCGGTTTGGTGAGGACGTCCGCGAGTTGCCGACTAGTTTCAATGAACTCGATGACGATCTACCATCCATCGACACAGTCCCTAGGGAAGTGGAACTTCACGTCGATGTGTTTGCTCCGGTCGTGCAGAACCGGATTCTTCGCGAGGGCGATGGCGGGCTGGTTGTCCACCATCAATGCTGGTGGGTGAGCTTCCGCACCGGTCAGCTCGCCCAGCAGCCGGCGCAGCCACACAACTTGGCACGCCGCTGTGGCCACCGCTACGTACTCTGCCTCGCACGTAGATAGCGCCACCACCTTCTGTTTCAGCGACAACCATGAAATTGGAGCCGACCCGAGGAAGACGAGCACTCCAGAGGTGCCCCGTCGTCCGTCAATGTCCCCCGCCATGTCTGCGTCGCTGAACACAGTGAGTTGCAGCCTACTCTCGCCGGTCTTGGGGAAGATGATCCCCTGATCAACCGTCCTTTTGACGTAGCGCAGTAGCTGATTCACCGCAGCCCAGTGATCCTCTCTAGGATCCTCCATGAAGCGACTGACGTAGCCCACGGCGAATGCAATGTCCGGCCTTGTGTGGACTAGGTAGCGCAGACCGTCGACAATGCTCCGGTAGAGTGTTGCATCCACCTTAACCGCGGTGCTGTCCTTTGTCAGCTTCAGCCGCTCCTCCATCGGAGTCACGCATGGCTTGCACTCAGCCATACCGCTCCGTTCCAACAGCTTCGAGGCATACGCGCTCTGACTGAGCGTGAGTTCCTCCTTCCCCTACCTCATCTCTATGCCGAGGTAGTAGGAGAGTGCGTCGAGATCGCTCATTCGAAAACGAGCCGACATCTCACGCTTGAAGCTGTTGATGTCCTCCGTGCGCTCCGGTGATGATCAAGTTGTCCACATACACGCCGACGACGAGCTCCTCCTTCCCCCGTCGCTGCGTGTAGAGCGCGTGCTCGGTTGAGCACTGTTGGAACCCAAGCTCGCCCAGCATGGCGTCAAGCTTGGTGTTCCACGCTCGTGGGGCCTGCCGCAGCCCGTAGAGCGCCTTGCGCAGTTGGAGCACCCTGTGCTCCTCTCCCTTGATGGTGAAACCTAGAGGTTGCCTGACGAAGACTGTCTCCGTGAGCTCGCCGTTGAGGAAGGCCGATTTAACGTCTAAGTGGTGGACGCGCTAGTCCTTTGCTGCTGCCAAGATATTGAAACATCGGTTTCTAACAAGAGTGAGAAGTGGGTGGAGGCCTTCGTCTTAGGTTGAGGTCTCCGCCTAAGATGGGCGGAGGTCTGCCTCCACCTAAGACGGGCGGAGGCCCCCAAACGCACGCCTGTCGGACAAGATCCCTTGATGGAGGTTCCAGGTAAATCGTTGCTAGACGAGGGACTTGGAAGAGTTTTGCTAAGTGGGAGTAAGAGAAAAGGGCGGAGGCCTTCGGCTTTGGCCGAGGCTCCAGTCTCTGGCTTTGGCTTTGGCTCAGGCTTGCCTGAAGAAGAGAGTGAGGATCAAGTACCGACTCATAAGAACTAGGGTTTCATAATTGCTTCACCAACCTCCCTCTCACAGTTACAAGTGTTCTCTATTTATAGGGCTCAACTACCACTTTACAGAGTTTACAACAGTGCCCCTCAACTGCTACGGTACATTCCTGGTATATTCTAGCCCTAGTGTCTAACCTCAGGGGTGTTCCCATCACACCGTCTCGCGATGTCTTCATCTTGGGCCTAAGCCGACGCCCACCAGAGGCCCATCAACTGTCCTCACGTATGCCTTGCTGACCTGATCGTTCCTTGATGGGCCTCCACCGCCTTGGGGAACACCTTCGCCATGATTACTGCGCATGACCTCCGCTGTCCCGGGGAGAGCCTCCACCGTCCCGGGGAGAAACTCCACTGTCATTCTTGTACTAGGCCTCCGCCGTCTCGGGAAGAGCCTCCACTGGCTAGGCCTCGCCGTCTTGGGGAGAGCCTCCGCCGTCTTGGGGGGAAGACTCCGTCGGCTAGGCCTTCGCCGTCTTGGGGAGAGCCTCCGCTGGCTGGGCCTCGCCGTCTTGGGGAGAGCCTCCGCCGGCTAGGCCTCCGCCGTCTTGGGGGGAAGCCTCCACCGGCTGGGCCTCCGCCGTCTTGGGGAGAGCCTCCGCCGGCTAGGCCTCCGCTGTCTTGGGGGGAAGCCTCCGCCGGCTGGGCCTCCGCCGTCTTGGGGAGAGCCTTCGCCGGCTAGGCCTCCGCCGTCTTGGGGAGAGCCTCCGCCGGCTCCATTATTCCTTCATCAGGCCTCTTCGAGGGGGAGTTGACCCATACTCCGTATGGGCTCCCCCAACACAAGGCTAGTAGCAAACGGACAGACTCCATGCGCGCTACTGGCGTAAAGACTTCCTCGAAGTCTATGCCCTCGTGCTGAACAAAGCCTCGGGCGACGAGGCGCGCCTTGTGCCTGACAATGGCGCCAAGCTCGTCCCGCTTAACCTTGTACACCCACTTCAGGCTGATCGGACGGCATCCTGGAGGTGGATCGACGAGCTGCCATGTCTCGTTTTCCTCGATCGCCTTCATTTCCTATAGCATCGTCCGTCGCCAGTTTCCATCGTGCTCGGCCAGCGCGAACGTGGGTGGTTCCTCTACACTGACGAGCAACAGCTCTTGGTCATTGAGCAGCCGACCAGCCAGGCCTGAGGGCCCTATGCCGCCGATGATGTCGTCCAGCCTGCGGAACTGCACCTCCTCACCTTCGTGGAAGGTATCCACGAACTCAGTGATGTTACTTGGAGGTGAGGCGAACTCGATCAGTGTTGATGGAGTTCCCTGTTCCGCCGGAGTGCTCGGCACAGCACCTGGAGTGCTCGGCACCCTGGTTGCAGTGCTCGACACTACTTCTGGGCAGCTCGTCACTACTCCTGCAGTGCTCGACACCACTGTAGGAGTGCTCAGTCTCAGTCTTGGAGTGGTTGGCACCACTGCAAGACCTCTTGGCTCCGCTACGGGAGTGCTCGGCACACGTCCTAGAGTGGTTGCCACCACTGCATAACCTCCTGGCACCACTCCTGGCGTGCTCAGTATCCCTCCAAGAGTGCTCGACACTCCTCCCGGAGTGCTTGACATCCCTCCCGAAGTGCTCGGCACTGCCCCAGGAGTGCTCGCTCTGACGCTGGAGTGCTCGACACCTCTTCCCCAACGTCTCCACCACCGTGGATGACCAGGTGCTCGACGACGAAGGTGCTGGTGAAGCCGCCAGCTTCCCCCGTGCTCGGACTGCTCCAGTCCCAAGCCGCCTTCTCGTCGAACACTACGTTACGCACGATAAGTACCTTGTTTCCGCGTGGGTCGTAGAGCCGGTACGCCTTGGTACTCTCCGCATAGCCTAGGAACACCATCGGTGTGCTCCTGTCCTCCAGCTTGGTGAGGATCGGCTTTGTCTTCTTGACGTGACTGATGCAGCCGAATGTCCGGAGGAAGGACACGCTCGGCTTGCGCCCATACCAAGCTTCGAACGGCGTCTTGCCCGTCAGGGCCTTGGTCGGAGCGTGGTTGAGGATGAACACCGACGTGGTCACCGCCTCACCCCAGAACCTTGCCGGCATGCCTTTGGCCTTCGTCATGGATCGAGCCATGCCGACCACCATCTGGTTCCACCGCTCCACCACGCCATTCTATTGTGGCGAGTACGACGCGATGTGGTGTCGCACCACACCCTGATCCGCGCAGTACGCAGCGAACTCCACCGAAGTGAATTCGCCGCCGCGATCAGTCCTCAGTACGCGGAGCTTCTTGCCGCTCTCGGCCTCCGCGCGCATCTTGAACTTCTTGATCGCTGCTGCCGCTTCGTCCTTGCTCGTCAGGAGTTGCAGCCACATGTAGCGACTGCAATCATCCATGAGCAGGAGAAAGTACTGTCGACCACCGTTTGTAGCTGGCGTGATCGGCCTGCAGAGGTCGCCGTGGACGAGCTCGAGAGCGTCCTTCACGCGATACTTGGCCGTCTTTGGGAACGGTAGCCTCCTCTACTTCTCGGCCAGGCAGCTGTCACACAGCTCGCCTCTGTGCTTGATGTGGGATAACCCTCGGACCATCTTCTTCAGCCGATTAAGCATGTCAAAGCTGAGATGTTCGAACCGGACATGCCACAGCTACGGTTCCTCGGTGTGCCTTGCCGCCAGGCACATCGGTTGCTCTACCTTTAGGTCGAGCAGGTACAACCAGTTCTGGGACCTCTTCACCTTGGCGAGAAGTCGCTGCTCTCGGTCTCTAGTCCTAAGGACTCCGTCCTTGATCAGTACCTCGCTACCACGCTCATCTAGCTGACCAATGCTGATGATGCTGGAACGCAGCTGCGGGATGTAATATACATCCGTTAGCGCTCGGTGCTCTCCGTTCTGGCACCTGAAGATGATGGTGCCGCGCCCTTGGATTTCCAGGTCCTTCCACCGTCGTCACCTCTTCCTTCTCCTTGGTCTCGACATCGTGCAGTGCACAGAACTTCGCCATCAGGATAGTGGCCTCATCATCATCATCAACTTGCACTAGATAAGCCTTAGCCTTCTCCTACTTGTGATTTGGGCGCTTCCGTGCCCAATGGTCTGTCTTCCCGCAGCGTCGGCAGGCGTTGGGGTCGACCTGCTTTTTCTTCTCCGAAGAAGCCTTGCCGCGGCGCTTGCCATCGTCACCGTGGCTGGAGGAGGCTACCTTCCCAAAGTTCCTCCGAGCAGCCACTCCTCTTCTGTCAGCAGCAGTTTGCCGCTGTCCTTCGTTGCTGTCGCCTGCTCCAGGCGCTCGTCCACCGCCCATAGACGACCTGTCACATCCTCAATGGTGAGGGTGGACAAGCCTAGCATCGTCTCTATGGAGAGAGCGATCTGGATGTACTTTGCCGGCATGGAGTGGAGGTACTTGAAGACCGCTTTCTCTTCGTCGATGGTGACGTCGTGGCTCTTCAACTTGCTGATGAGCGTCTACAGGCGGAGGGAGAAATCCTCCACCGTTTCACCATCCTTGAACTTGAGGTTGGCGTACTCCTGCTTCAGAAGCTGGGCCGTCGCCTTCTTTGCGCGGTCGAAACCGACGCGCATCGCCGCAATAGCCTCCCACGCCTCCTTAGCAGAGCTCTTCGCCTCCAACGGCTCCCTGTACTCCGCCGGTACAGCAGCGAGGATAGCCTTCAATGCTGACATGTCATCTTCCTCATTGTCGGTGCCCTTGTCAACAACATTCCAGAGCCATCGGGCTCTGAGCTTGACCTTCATGGTCACCGACCACTCTCCATAGTTGGTGCGAGTCAGCGTCGGCCAACTGTTGCCGCTGACCTCCCGCACCGTGCGAACAACGACCTTCGGTCGTGGCTGGGCAGCCACAGCAGTGCCACTGTTGTCGTCCATCTTCGAATCGTTCGTCATCGCCAGCGGTTAGTACGGTGACGACGCTTGTACGGCTCTGATACCACTTGTTAGTCCATAGGATCACTGGCTCAGGTGAGTCGACCACTCACCAGTCTTACCGAGTACCCGCTAGTGTTGCCGAGCACTCACTAGCTATGCCGACCACAAACAAGCGTTGCCCGACCACATACACTATGGCTAGAGGTAGAAGAAGAGGGAGAATAGAGCATACACACACAGTACAAGCACCAGCGTTGGCTGGAGCCCTGTAAAGGAGATGGCAAATCTGAACTTTCTTTGTTGAGTTACAGTGGCAAACTATATATACAACTCTATCTATCTAGTCTTAGTACAGCTCTTATGCTGCTACAATGACTTGATAACACAGCAGGACTGACTTCTGCGCCTGTCCGTGCACGTGGCTACAGTCCGGCAGGTGAGCCGTTCGGCGCCTGCCTCTATAACGGCTACAGTACGACAACATGTGCCTTTTTCAGCGCCGCCTTCTCTGGCTACGTGTTCACACAAGAAAACAATAAATTATCTAACATAGTATTGCACACCAGTTACCCGGCCCACGGGTTTGTTTGACACAGACATGACATGCGATTCCTTGGCCCCGTTCGCTGGTCTGAAATTTGGCTGAAACTGGCTGAAAAACACTGTCCCGGCTGAATTGTTGTGAGAGAAAAACACTGTTCCGGCTAAAAAAAAAGCCGAACAAGCCATTTTTAAGACAAGCGAACGAGCCCTTTTCTGGTCTAATCTTTTTTTTTCTTTTTAGGGGAATCTTTTCTGGTCTAATCTTACAGGGCGGAACCGCTTGGTGATTTTTTGCAGGATATGTCTGTGTACGAGCGTTTCATCGGAGGACCAGAATACCACTGCGCCTATGTGCCACACTGCATGCTACCAACACCATAAAGAAACCAGCTGGTGAGAAGCCTGCGAAGCGGGGCAGGACATCGCCGGAAGGGAAGAAGAAGAAGAACGAGACGAAAGCATCTTCCACTAAGTAGGAGCTGATGGTCGCTTGACGTAGCTGTGTACAAATTTATTGTAGCTAGGAATTAATGGTCTGCAAAAAAACGAATTGTAGCTGGGAATAATGCTGAACTAGTTCTGTAACACCCCCTGGTTAGGACTTAGAAGATAATGTTTGTTGTGTTAGCTGTTGTAAACGTTAGTTATGACTTATGACGCCCGAGATTGGGAGCGAGTAAATGGTGATCCCTCTTCTGTGGCGGCTATTTTTTCTGCCTGTCTTGTGCTTTATTTTTATTAATCTTAGACTGTTTACCTTAATGTTCCTGTTATTCGCAACTGGAACTGCATAGGGTCAGAAAGAAGTGTGTTCAGGCCAATCTGTTGAGTATTGTCTGAAAAAAGTGTATTCACTGCATGGTTTGTGAAGAAGTGTAGACTTTTATATTAAAATAAAGGTCCCAAATTTCAAAGCAATAGCCAACCCCAGCTCGCAACATTGCTTATTATAAGACGTTTTGGTATTTCTAGATATATAGATTTTGCTATGCACTTAGATATATACTTATATTTAGATACATAGTAAAATCAATGAATCTAGAAAAGACAAAACGTCTTAATCTTGTAATTTGGAACGGAGGGAGTACTTGGTTAGGCTACAGGCAGTGAAAAAGAGGGAGGGAGACGGAAAACCCTGTAATTTTAGTCTTTTACGGTATTGTTGACACTACCAAACTCACAGCGGCTGGGGTTATTGTCTCAAGTCAAGATACAAATATCGGGATGCTCAACAGCTTCAGAACATCCTTGATCTCTACGAGCATTGTTCTGGGCAAATGGTTAACAAAGCGAAGTCTGCTGTCCTTTTTAGTACAAACACCAAAGGGCAAAGGAAGCGGGAAGTGTGTGATCTACTGTAGGTGACGAAAGAAACAATGAGTGAAAAATATCTTGGCCTTCCAGTGCGAGTGGGGAAATCAAAGACTGCAGCCTTTGCCTACTTGAAGGATAGGATCTGGAAGCGGATACAAGGGTGGAAGGAGAAATTTTTGTCGTAGGCCGGGAAGGAAATTCTAATCAAAACAGTGGCTTTTGAATAAAAATCTCTGCAAAATATTCCTGTCCTCACCTTTTACAAACAGTTCTCTAATTTGTTAACAAATCGTGAATCTACAAGTAGGCAGACTGTCAGCTACAAAACCCAGTAAGGGCCCGTTCGGTTAGGCATTCCCGGCCTGTAACGGCCAGGAACATTTCCAGCTCAGTATAAAGTATGGAATGGTTCCAGGCCCGAAACAGCTCCAGGCCATTCCGGACTGGAAACGAACGGCCCTAAATCTTGCTGTCTACTGTCACAAAAGATAGTGGATAAGTTAGACAGGATTCTATGATGATTCAGACTTGTAATGTAAGATTATTACAATCCTTAAACTATTGCTTTCCTACACTACAGAACTGTTGCTTCCTCGAGGTCTTTCAATACATCAAGGCTAGAACTCCACGAGTGGTGACAGAATTGTTGTTTACTCCAAATCTTTCACATCGCCAACAACTCTCTTGAGGTATGCAGCTAGCAGATGAACGCTTCTGCAGACACATATCACATCACTGATCCATCATTATGCACGCGATCGATGCTATTTCATTCTTCACGATCACAGAACCTGGTTGATGCAACATCTTTGTCAGCCGCAGGAAAAGCCTTTGAAACTGCTGATTGCTGGCTGCTCTCGATCGCGTACCGTCCTCGCCTCTGTCTCCTTGTTCTCAAAGGGACGTGCAACATCGATCGATCTCCAATGGCGTACAAGGTGAAAGGGATCTTCAAGGGCCTCAAGGTCTTCTCCCGGATCTTCGGTAAGCGGGCATTTTATTTTCTTTCCTGTCTGAAATCCTCAACCTCAACTTTGGCCATGCACGTACGGTGGTTCCAACATTGTCTTGTCTCTTAGTCGCCCGTTTGTTTCCTCCATGGATCGTCCTTGCAGCGGTGAAGGAGCACGAGATGGAGATCGGTTACCCGACGGACGTGAAGCACGTCGCGCACATCGGCTGGGACAGCGCGGCGGGCAGCGCGTCTCCGAGCTGGGTAAACAAACGCACAAGACACCAGAATTCAGTGCATTGCCGCTGCAACTTTCTCCAAATGTCTGAATTCTGATCAGTACAGTTTTAATTGAATTTTGCTCTGTCTTGTATATCCTCGCAGATGAACGACATCATGGCGTCCTCGGATTTGTCGTCCCTGGGCAACTTTGCAGCGTTGACTGGTACCTCCTGGATTTCTCAAGGTACAGTGACCACTCGTCCTGCTCTTCAGCTCAGAATGCATTGCTCTGTTTGCTGTGGTTCAGTTCAGTGGTTGTTTCCTATGATTGCACCTTTCTTAGCAAAGGTTTTGGTTCCTTATGTGATCTTGCCAGTAGGATCATTCGCATGTCTCAGCGTTTTGCTTTGCCCATTCGGCCATTCCTCTGTTAGTTCCTGTACCCGTTGTCAGCAGCAGAAAACATGCTAGTAAAGAAAATGCACTCGCTTCATCAGGTTTCTGAAGCCTGAGATACCAACAACATGTCTGAACTCTGAATCGCTGTTGGTGAGCCCCCGGTCTCGTGCAGACAAACTGCGAATAACTCGATTCTGTTCGTCGCTTCACTCAAACAGTAGGAGAAACTTGTTCCAGAAATATCCTTGTTTGGTACTTGCTTCAGAAGATGGTAACACCGGCAGAGGCAAATCTGAAGCTTCCTGTGATGGGGACACGATCAGTTGGTGTCGTTCATACTGTACTTGCCTGGAGAGCAAGTGATGTCGGCGTGTGGTTGGTTGGTGTCCCGGGCGACAGCCGCTGATCGCGGCCAGGCAATCGGCAGACATCATCCTCCGATCCGGATCACATTGCATTGCCGTTCTTAGTTTCAAGATTACGCACTTTGATTTTGCTTTCCATTCCAGGATTAGGAAGGATCTTGTGCCGTGTTCTTGGCATGCGCGCGCCGCTGACACGTGTTCTGTCTGACAGATCTCGACCGCCAGCAGCGTGTCGGCGCGGTCGTTGCAGAGGACACCGTCAGGCGGGACGATTCGGCCACGTGCCCCGACGTTCCAAGGCTGCCGAGGAAGCCGGGGACGAAGAAGCCCAGGGATGGCTCGCCGACGGCACCGTCGGTGTCGGAACCGTCCAGCAGCTCCAAGGACGAGGTGGCGGCGTCGCCACCGTCACCAGCAGCTCATGTGGACGCTGCTGCAAATGCCGCCGGATGATCCGAACTGTGCTCCGGCCTCCCGCCCTTCCGAGTTGTGTAGGCGAGGCTACAAAGATTGCTTGTTTGGTCGTGTCTGATCGTCTCAACTTTGCGTAAGTGTATCAGTGTATGTGTGTATGGGCTTTTTTTAACGGTATTGCTCTACTAAGAACGTCCGTCCGTCCGGACGCTTCCACTGATAGGCCACGATACTAGCCCAACGCCCCAAGTCCCCACTGCCTATCGGAACTGAAACCATACGAGTCAAGTGCCCAAGTGGGACATCCTTGCGGCGCGGCGTTGGCCACCACGGCACCATCCACTCCATCACCACCTACTCACCAATCCCACGCCTCCCCAACCAAAGCACTCTCCATTCTCTTGTCTGGCGCCGCAGCCCGCAGCTATGGCCTCCACGGGGCCGTGGCATCATGGAAGAGACCTTCGCATGCATCCCCACCCAGCCCATCCCCTCGCCCATCGAAGGCTCCGTTTCTGCCGCCGCCTGCTCCATCGTCGGTGAAGCCGAGGCTGACGAGGACCGCATCAGCCGTTCACCGACGCTGACGAGGACTGCATCAGCCGCCTGGCAGACGCGTTGCTTTCCAACTTTGTCTCCCGCCTCCCGATCAAGGACGCCGCCCCGCACCGCTGCGCTGGCGCCGCGTCTGGGCCTCCACGCCGCACATCCTCGACGATTCTACTAGCCCTTTATAACGCCGTGCTGAAAAACAAACGTTGCAAGCATATGTTCTGAGTTTTGAGTGTTTTAGATATTTTAGAGGTATGTTATAAGTGTTTAGTATAGATGTTGCAAAAATAAAATGAGATGTTGCATATGTTGTAATGATTGTACACGTATGTTGCAAGCTTCTGTTCCCAATGTTTCATTTGTTTTTTCAGATGTACGTTGCAAGTGTGTTTATATGGATGTTGCATATATTTCACACATATATTAACAAGTATTTTATCTGGATGTTGCGTATGTTCTACGATGGTTTTCAAGTGTTTTCATGTGTTTTTGTAAGCGTTTTAGATGCATGCTTCTAGTGTTTCATCTGCCTTCAGACGTATGTTGCAAGTGTTGCATCTGAATGTTTTAAAAGTATATCGGGTGTTGCATCTCCCTCTCGATGTCTCCTCCTGCTCTCGGCGCCGGCTGGCATCCGCCACCCCCTCCCCCTCTTTTTTGATACTGGTGACGATCGAGACGGACCAGGCCCCGCGTGGACGTGTGAAACGCCTGCAGGCGCGGGCGTCTAGACAACCCGTCCATCTAGACGTCCAGATGCTAGCAAGCCTATTTTTTAATCCGGTCTCTGCTAAGGTTGCTAAAAACATATCGTAGATTTTAAATCGAATAATAGAGATTTAAATCAGACCATATCTCTACACCTAAAAAATAAGTATGGTCATCGTCAGCGCAAAATAATCGCCCTGCCCCCTCCACCCCGTAGCCAGCTGTCGGTGTTTGATGACCGGCAACTCGTCACGGGGTTACCCGAGACGATGTTCAAAGGACTTCGGCGTATGCAGAACTCGACAGTAAATTCAAAGAGACGAACGGTTTATACTGGTTTGGGCCCTCTTGTCGAGTAATAGCCTTTACTTCCAGTCAGCGTGTAGCTTTTTATGTTGGATTGATTGGTATGATTGTTAAGGTTATAAGGGGGTGCACCATACCTCTCTTTATATAGGGGAGAGGGTAAGAGCATGTATCTAGTCCTAGTTGGTTACAAGAGAAGAGTCCTAGTCCTATTACAAAATCTAGCTTTCATAGTAAGCTAGCTAAGTCGATCTGGAATAACTTGAAGTCCACACCACCTTGTCTTGTGTCCTTTAACAGATTGTGAGTCATTCCAAGGCCCATCCAAGTAGTACCCCCATGGGGAACCCCTAGGACCCTGGTTCGTCAAGCCCCCCAAGCGTGTCATGGTTGAACTCAGAAACCTTCTTGTTTCTCCTGGTCTTGCCGAGTAGAAATAAGTGTAGTCCAAGTGCTTTCACGAGTGAAGTCATGAGGTGCTCTGTAAAGCCTTCAGGTAACGTACACTTTTTGGAAAAGTGCACTTACTGAGTGTAGCCCCCGAGCCTCTTGTTGTTTGCAAAACAAAGAGTTAGATGATCTAAAAGAAAAAAACATCCGTAGAGGATATGTACCCTACAGCCCCTGAGCCTGTGTCCGAGTACTTGTACTCGAGATAAGGATCTAAAAAGAATATACTCGAGGATGAGAGTGTCAGCGAAAATTATTGTCATGTCTGCTTGTACAGAAGCAGGTAAGACATGCCAAAGGCACATGTGAAGCTGAGTATAGTTGGTTCAAAGATTCTCGGAATATTCGTAGGAATGTGTCATCAAAGGTGCTGTCGAGTGTACTGTTACTTTACATGTGCTGGGAAAAGTCTGTCTGTACACTAAAAAGGTGTAGTGAGACGCACTGTACCCTTGTAGTGTAGCACGTGAACCTGTGTAGGAGTCAATAGCTTGTCCATGCATTGTGCGTGAACCTGGTCCATAAACACCACCAAGACGTCTATAAACACCCTCCCGGTGAGCACTTGAGCCTCAGTTGTATAAGAAGCAAAGTGGCTCAGAGTTTGAAGCTTGCAAATATGGTGGTGAGCAAAGTAGACCAGCCCTCGGCAGTACTTGATTGGTATAACTAAGAGCTGTAGTGACTAGAAGAACTCTTGTGATAGGGTTTAGAGGTAGGCTAAATCCACAGTTGTGCACAATAGAGTAGCCTGGAGCTTCAACTAGAAGAAGTCTTGTGACAGCTAGTAGAGTGGCACATCTAGCAGTCCCATGTCAGTTCTTTGAGAGTGCCTAGTGACGTCTGTCCATGAAGGGTCATACCCGGACCCTAATGTGTACAATGGCGTCAGCTGGGTGGCAAGATGTGCGAATAGCTCATCCTGCATACTAGCCAGCAGGCTTCCTCTTGCAGTAGCTATGCTCCCAAGGGTAGTCGGCCAACAAATGTTCATAGCTGGATAGTCTACCTAAGGTTCTAGGCTAGGACACACTGCACTTCTATTTTCTACCCAGATGCACTACTCTTCTCCTCTTGGATCCAGGTGCATCGGGTACGAAAAGTACCTACGGAGAAGCACTTAGAGTATGAGTACTCTGTCATAGCCGAGTAGGTGTTGTGTTTGGTATTGTCTGAAAAGATCTTGTATCCAATGAACTGTTGTTGAATAAAAAATCTTCATCCGAGTACTATGTTGTTAACTCATGCTGTCAAGCAATTATCCAAGTATTGCATAAACTGTCCGAGTACTTCACTGATGTGGCCATGTAGGAGATGGTTGTATCAAGGCAAGTACCCGGATGGTGTGAACCCAATAGATAAGTCTAAACATAGTGTGTCACGCTGGAAACCATGAAAAGGCGTATCAATTCACGTGGCGTCATTAAAATGGTAGGGAAACCGAAGCGTCGCACCCATTGGTGTGATTATCGGGTCACACGGTAGTGGGATTCCTATATAAAATATAACAAACCCCGAGCGTCATCTTCCTCTGTCTCATTTCACTTTCTGCTTAAGCCCTCGTGCCTGCTATGAGCGCCGTCCACCACAAACCCTAGATCTGTAAAAAGCTCTGCTTGATGGGTAAGGGCAAGAACTCAAACGCCGCCACCAAGAAGACGGCCGAGAAGAAGGCGCTAGAAGTGCCAGAGATGGCCACCGCCGCCCAGATCTGGCCGACGCCAAGCACGAAGCTAAAGCACCTCTAGAAACTCCGTGATCAGGCTATTTGCGGACCATAAGCTTGGTGAATGGAAGGTGCCTGGAGAACACCGCATTCCAAACCTTGAGCCGGGTGAGATCGTTCTCTTTGTGCCATTCATACAGCACGGGTTAGGGTTGCCAGCTTGTCCCTTTTTGCATGGGTTTTTGCATTACTATGGCATAACCCTGAACCATCTGAACCCAAATTCCATCTTGCATTTGTCAATCTTCGTCCATCTCTATGAAACTTTCCTTGGCATCCCCCCTTCCATCACTTTGTTCCGCTACTTCTTTAAACTAAAACTGCATCCAGACGTAGCAAATCCAAGCGTTTTGAGAGGTGCCAGTAGTCAGTTCCAGGTGGGGAAGAAGAAATAATATCTCCACTATACCCTAGTCGATTATGTGAAGAATTGGAGAGCCAAGTGGTTTTATGCGGGGAATATGTGGCCATCGCTGGAGGTTCATAGTAACGCCGCACCAGTGCCCAATGCCCGCTGGGAGAAGGAACCGATGAACGTGATGGAGCTTGAAGGAATTTGTCCATTCCTCAAGCAGCTCTCGGCCTTGAAGGATCAAGGCCTGAATGGAGTTGGAGTAGTCGCCGGCTTTATCAGGCGCTGAGTGCAGCCGCTTCAGGAGAGGGTACACTATGGCTTCTAGTACATCGGGCCAAAGGATCCAGCTCGAGTAACAACTGATGAATTGACAGATGATGAAGTCCTAGAGAGGATTTAGGATATACTCCAAGAGGTATTAGTGATACCGTACCAGTACCCTGAACTTGACCATGAACATCCACCTGCTGCCGTAAGTACTTTGACCTTTGTGACCTTGTAGTGTCTTGATATTGTGGGAACGGACTCCTAAAAATGGATTATTGTTGATGCAACATTTGGGGCGCAATTTCAATGACTTGCCTGCTTTGCCTTCGCATGTCGGCTTTGGGGGAGTTGGTGGAAGCGAGGCAACGTCTGCCAGAGTAGATGGAGGGAGCGCCGCCTCCGCCGTCCCTATGGACCAGGAAGCTGAGAGTGAATCTGAAGGGAGCCCGGACAACTTCATAGTCCAGGCAAACCCAAGTGCCAGGCAGGGAGCCGCTGGTCGAAAACGGTCGTTAGAGGCCAATGTTGCCGCCGGTAGTGGGGCAGTACCCAAGAGGCCCGTCGAGCCTACACACTAATACGAGGTAAAATACAATCTTGAAGTAACTCCATGTAGTCTGATAGTTATCGTATTCTGAGCCCAATCTTGAATAGTCACAGCTCAGGATACTGCTG